ACATGTTATGTAACAGAAGGAAACAAACTTTCCAATTCCTAGTTGGCATATTATGTAATACAGAAGGAAACATAAGCTATCCAGGCGAGTTTTTTTTTGTGCACAATTGCAAACATCTATAGTGTTTTTGATTTTAAGATACTGGGACAATGAATAGTAATTAAACCAACTTGACTCATCTACACTAGAAACGCTACTGACTGGATCCCCATTGTCTCTTTCTTCTTTACCTATTCAACAATTCACAATTTGAATACAAGTCCTATCAGGTCACACAAATATGTTATTCTTCAAACGTAACCAACACTCCGGTTAAAAAGGAAAGAAAACAAATATGATGAACTGATCAACAAAGCAAAGAGAAAAGCGTTAGAGTTAAATAAGAAAGCTCTGGAGATTTTTTATCAGAGAATTTCTATATTTGAAGCCATTCTATGTTAATAATTCTAAGATATAATCAGACCATATCGATAGAGCGTATCATCGCTCGCACCTGATACAAATTTTATGCGTCTAAATAAACAGTCGAGTGAGAACTGACAAGTGTTTGCACGTGCCAGTCTCGAAATGTGATTTTTCTCTTTTCTTTTTGTCTTTTTTTTTATTTTGTCGATTTCAACTTCAAGGGAGAAGACTCGTACGAAAAAAAAAACACAACTCCTGTCCAACTGTTCAGCATTTTATTCTTACCGCACTATTCATATGTATAATCATACCCATTGTACAAACCAAGCGTTTACTTTTCTCAAAGGACTATACTTCCTTTATAAAGCCTTTCCCAACGCTCATTTGAAAGATGAAAGCTTAATTTGATTGGTTCCTCCTTTATTTATCGTTTATAGAAGTACTTGAAAGTACTCGGATCAGCAGCGAGTTGTGTTTGACATGGATTTGTTTTCTCGGAAATTATATTGTGATATCTTGGTTTTTTTTGTATTGCATTTGGTTCCTATAACACATAAGGATTAAAATGCTTTGTTTTTCGAGTATTGGCAATGTTTACAGTTATTGTAGGTTATGATAATCGATAATCTTCTTCCACATTGTATTTGAAATAAGTGTTCGTATTTACCTAATCTACACATATCTGAGCTGTATGGGCACTGGTGTAGCTCAGATCGACTGGTGGACCGTGGCGAGATGTCATGAAAGCGGGGATGAGGATGACCCTGCATCCGCTCTAACTGATCTAAAACTGGAACGTAGTGTACCACGGACCCGCTGGTGGTCGATGGAGCATGACGGGTTCGTATGAGCAGGGAGACTGGGGAAACTCGTGAATTCGTTGAATATGGAGGCCAATAACAACGACAAAAAGTATTTCTACGTTTATTCCAACACTAACAAAGCATGAATGTCGGTAATGCGGCTGGTTAGTAGCTTACATTGTGCGTTTGTCGCCGCACACTGGCGAGGGAGGGGCACAGTCTAGGAAGGAGCTTGAGGCTAAGAAATAGTAGGGGTATACCTACAAATCATAGCTTTTCCCTATACATGACAGAGGAAGTTGGGTGATTCAGCCTAGGACTGAGACGTGGTGTAGCTTAGACCGTCTGGTAGTCTCGTGGATCGTGGTTTCTGGACGATAGGAGCGGGGATGACCCTGCATTCTCTCTAACTCATCAAAAACAAAAGTCTTTGTGGCGGGTTTGCTTGAGCGGGGATGCAGTAGACCCCGAATCCGCTGTAACTTATTTAGAGCTGGACAGTAGTGTACCGCGGAGCCGCTGGTGGCGGAAGGAACGTGAAAGATCTGTATGAGCGGGGATAAGGATGACCCTGCATTCGCTCTAACTCATCTAGAGCTGGACAGTAGTGTACCACGGAGCCGCTAGTGGTGGATGGAACGTGAAAGGTCTGCATAAGCGGGGATCAGGATGACCCCGCCTTCGCTCTAACTCATCTGGAGCTGGACAGTAGTGTACCGCTTAGTCGCTAGTGGTGGATGGAGCGTGACGGGTCTGCTTGAGCTGGGACGAGGATGACCCTGCATTCGCTCTAACTCATCTAGAGCAGGATAGTAGTGTACCGTGGACCCACTGGTGGTTGATGGAGAAGGAGGGCTTGAATGAGCCTAACCTAACTCGCCCAACCAAAATTGTGTGTCTTGTTGTATTTTAAGATCAATTAAATGATAATAATGAGTGAAAAAATAGAAAGATCAAAGAATACACTTACGAGACAAAACAATAATAAAATATAAACATCATGTCTCTAAATATATATTATATTTTCTGATTCTTTGTCCTTATTACAAGCTATTAATAACATCCAGCTTGTACACCCAATAATCGGGGATATATACAAGCTCTCTGGGCCGAAAAAGGACATTGTCCTTTGTTGGCTCCCCAGTCACATGGATATACGGGGGAATGACATGACAGATGCGGCGGCTAAGGCTGCTTTGTCACTGCCTGTTTCCCCCTTGTCTTTTAAATCGGTGATAAGGTCTTTTATTCAACATCGATGGCAGCAAAGATGGGATGCTGCAGACACTAACAAGCTTCATGCCATTAAGCCTCTCCTAGGAGACTGGCCCTCCTCCTATTGTGCCAACAGGAGAAATGGCCCTCCTCCTATTGTGCCAACAGGAGAAATGAAGTTGTTTTCTGTCGCTCTCGTCTTGGACATACTCACCTCACCAACTGTTATTTGCTCAAGCGAGAACCTCAACCAGACTGTGAGCACTGCCAGATCTGCCTGACAGTGAAACACATTCTGATTGAGTGTAAGCATCTCAAACCTATAAGATCACAGCACTACTGTACTGTTTCTTTATTTCCGCTTTTTTTTAAGATAGTCGGATCTCTATTTTAAATTTAATATTTTGTTTGTTTTAATACTGTTTTTATTTCAATGAGCAAATTTTACTCTAGATGCAGTGCTAATTAAATTATGAATTATTGGGTACACATATCGATGAGAATACAAATACAACAAGCAATGTTAAATTACACAAAATACAAATGAAATGAAATGCATTAAGGAGCATCAGCACCAAACGGGCTATATGGCTCCAGAATACGATAAAATAATAAAACATTAAAACAGTATAACACCTATCAATATCACAGAAAGGAATCACATACTAGCAACAAAACAAGACGATAAAAACCATATCACAGTAAAAGTCATTTAATGACTACAAAAACTACTAAAAATAATATCGCAGGTAATACAAAATATATACAAAATATGATTATACAATATATAGTATAAAATAATTTCTGTATCGCCCCACATTTAATGTATTGGGCACTATTTAAAATATTTTGATATTGAAATTAGTATAACAAATAGTTAGACACTATAATTGAATTATTCTAAGAAAAAGGTAATACACTCTTGATGGTCAATCTGTAGTACATTTTTCACAGTTTGTATTTCCGACCTATCTCTCCATAACTTTATTCTGAAAAGTAATTGTCATTTTTATTAAATGCAATGTTGAAAAAATATTAAACCAATAAAAGATGGTGAATTGTAACACATGAAATCTACATATCAATCAATACAAACCGAAGAAAAAGATTGATTAAAATTTTCAACGAACTAGTAAAGATCATAAATAGCATAATGTATCATAATTATCTATTCCTCATCATCAATTTGGTAAAACCTGATATTTGTACCTCTGTTAACTTTTACCAAGATTAGCATATGGTCTAATATCATCTATATTAGCTTCGTTTCTATCAACATTAGAACTATTATCTGATTGTATTCTAGCTGTATTGTTGACTGTATTTAATTCTTGATATGTTTGTGTGTCATCTAAAACAAATAGAAGGGAACTTTGTGACTAATACAAATTAAAAATTAAATTTAAAATTTTAGTTATAAATACATTTGCAATGTCACGCCTTCAGATCATCGACAGAAAAATGACAAGTGATTTTTGGTGAAAGAATACAATATCCATCTATTTGTGCACTTAAGTACATTTGAAATATATTTTGATCAATAAATGATTCATGATTGTTTTTGACAGAATTTAATGCATTTTTGTTAAAATATCTGGATAACCGTCCTTTAAGTATTGTACTACAATTTTACACGCCCACATGAAATTGGCGTCATCCATATCCGATTGTCCGTCCGTCCACAATTGCTCGTAAACACTCTAGAAGGCACAATTATTCACAAAACTTGGTATGATTATTTGTAATCACCCAAGGATGAACCCTATTGAAAATCAGAAAAATCGTAATATAATGAGTGAGTTATTGCCCTTATTCTTGAAAACGCGTTCAATTTTTTAGCCCATAAACAATCTGGAAGGCACAATTTTTTATTGATTTTGACGGAACTCCGTAATATTATACAGTATCACACCAACAAGTTCAAAAGAAATGTGTGACTGAAGGTTGAATATTTCATACTCCTAATTGTTACTGTACTGCCAAATATTTTGTATTTAAAATCAACTCTGCCAGTGGGTTTCTATTACCTTGCCTGGCAAGCTATCTTAATATTATAAATGATCTACATGCAGTTTTATCAAACACATCAACTGTTTCTTAATGTACCAAATTATCTTAAAATTTACATAAAGTGTAATTAATGTCTACTCCAATAGTAGATTTTCCTTTTCATTGCACAAATAATATGCCTATAAAGTTTAGCTGAAGTTTATCAACTCTCTATGTACCTCTTAATAATTGCCTAACACTTTGAATTAGAAAGACATATAAAAGACACAACTGAAAAGAAACTATTTACCAGATCTTGTCGTAGTATTAATCCCAGCGTAGCTATAAAATAATATAAGTATATATATATATATATGACTAAGATTACAATTCAATAAACTAACACTATATACACTCGACCACCAGTGTTGATTGCTTGACTAACATTGGGTCACTTTTATGGTTACCTTCGCTCGGACAGAACGAATTTATAAATTGATTTAAGGGAATGAAACAAAACTATGTAAGCTGAGAATTTAGCATCAAATTAATCTTAAACTGCCAGATCAGTTATTAAAAACACGTTTATTTTTTCTAATCTAAAAACTTACTTTTCTTCAACTTTCTTTCGTTTGCCTTAAATAAAAGGAGAGAAAATGTTTGCTTCTTCCAACCTTTTCTAGCAATAATCCAAGTTAATTAAAGTTAACAGATTGCAACTAATTAATGTATTACCATCTTTAAAGTATTTTGATATGGAAAAACATAAACACACATAGCAAATATCAATTTTTAAGTGTGTTGCCAGAACCAGAATCTTAGCAAATAATATTAATCTCAGACCTGACCAATATCTATAAATAAATATTGCTGTAGCAACCATCACTGCTATAGCTATAGATATCCCTACACCTATTCCAATACCAGCACCAAGTCCATTGTTATAACTAGTATTGATATCATTGGTGTCACCACTATTAATATTCTTACTGCAGTCGGCGGACTTGTTAAATCCCAGAAAACTAGCTAAAATTCAAAATAACATGATTATTTTTACTTTCCAAAAGGCTGTGNCCAACAAGACTTACGCCACGAATGTCTGATGTC